CCACAAATCCGTGATCCCAATGGCCACCTACATACTGATGCCGAAAAATCTGCCAATCTTCTTGCCGATGCTTTCAGTGAAGACTTTGTGAATGAACCTGATGGTGATGGTACTCTTCCGAACTTATCCAGCCCTCATAGATGCCTAGCGACCATCTGTAGCATAGATTTTTATCCTCAGGACATTGAGAGGCACCTTACTAAACTGAAAACTTGTTCGTCCCCTGGAAAGGATGGGATTACTTCTGCCGTTATGAAGTCCTGTGCCTCAGCTCTCGCATACCCCCTGTGCATTATATTCAACTCCTCGATTCAAAATCACATCCTTCCTTCCTGTTGGCGTACTGCATCTGTGACACCTATATACAAAAAAGGAGATAAAACATCTGCGAAAAACTACCGTCCTATCAGTCTTGTGCCTATAGCTGCGAAAATAGCCGAAAAGATCGTCCAGGAACAACTTATGACATTTGCGTTCAAGAACAACCTGCTGCCTAGCAACCAACATGGTTTATTCCTGGTAGATCAATTATCACCAACATGTTACACTGCATTGACAATTGGACCAGATCTTTAGACGCAAATGAACCGGTCGACGTGGTTTTTCTGGATTTTTCCAGAGCTTTCGATCGAGTTCCGCATAAAAGGCTCCTGCACAAGCTTGAACATCTCGGAATCAGGGGAAATTTTTTGTTATGGATTGAAGCTTTTTTGTTAGACAGATCTTTCTCCGTCCGTGTTGGAGACGCCTATTCTTCTAGTCATCGTGTTACTAGTGGAGTTCCACAAGGATCTGTTCTAGGGCCAATACTTTTTCTTCTTTATACAAGCGACCTTCCCACCCGACATTATTCTATGTGTTCCATCTATGCAGATGATACTAAAGTCTATAACACTGTCATGAACTCATCTGTGCTTCAAGAAGACCTCAAGCTGATCAGAAAGTGGTCAGAACTCTGGCTCCTGCCTTTAAATCTATCGAAATGCTACGTTCTCCACCTGGGAAAGAATAATCCTAACTTAACATATAAGATTGGCAAACATACCTTAGAGTCTGTTCTTCATCACACAGATCTTGGTCTGACAGTTAATGGCCGGCTCACCTGGTCGGAGCACATTCAGAACATAACCTCTAAGGCAAAGCGGTTGCTATATATGATGGAAAGGTCATTTAGCGGTTGCACCGTTAGTACCTCCTCCTTTTTATACACAACTTTCGTACGACCCCTACTGGAGTTTGCTGGTCCGGTATGGGATTCAAACCTTGTTCGCGATAGCAGCTTATTAGAGGCCGTTCAGCGTCGTGCAACACGTATGCCATATGGCACACGTAGGCCAAGTTATGAAGACCGCCTCGAGCTATATAACCTGCCTGCTTTTGCTGATAGAAGAGTACGAGGAGATCTCATCATCACTTTCAGAGCACTGCATAATTTGTTTGGTGTGGACATGTCGCATCTGTTTCGTCTGGCAACGAACAGTCTCAGAGGCCATAACTTCAAATTGCAGAAGGAAGCTTTTAGAACCTCTACTCGTCAGCGCTTCATCTCAAACCGTGTCTTCGATGCATGGAACAGTCTTCCATCTTATGTAGTGAACTCGGAATCCGTCAACAGTTTCAAAAACAATTACGATAGACACCGCAGTGCTTAACATATTGTTCCCATTCTGTATATGTCTACTTCAGTAGTGCTAAGATTGTCAAATTGTTATATTTCTTTTGTCTGTACACTATTATCTATTTTTGTGTTTGAGTTTATAGTACTTGTACTCACCTCAAATTTGTTGTTTAATAATGATAATAATAATAAACAGTTAAAGACAGATTAAAAATTATTTAGAAAACATTAGAGCATTACGTCGTGAAGCCACTTGATGATTGCACAAAATGGTGGTCATGGAATAATGAGTGAGATGAACCTTTGACAGAAGGCCGAAGGTTGTCAATGTCTGTGTTGAAAGATGGAACGAATTGTGGGCGTGTGCCAAAACGTTGCCAGATCACTTCAGATGATGTGATTTTCAGAATGTTATGTAAGAAATTGTTCAACCGACCAGAGGCAATTGAATAAACTATATTTTAATTGATGGGAATTTTAAATTAATAATTATTAATAAATCGTGAGAAGAGAATTATTAGATTTTGAGTGGAATGAAATTTGTTGGTGGAATGTCCCACATTTTCATGAATAACAACTGTATCAACAAAAAGACAGATATTAAACAACTGACTGTCATTTACTCATATTTGCTAAACTGCGACAAATTGGAGAAATTACATATCTCCCCAAATTTCGACTTTTCACAACCATAAATATAATCTGTGTTTTGGCCGATTCCACCAACAAATTTCATTCCACTCAAAATCTAATAATTCTCTTCTCACGATTTATTAATAATTATTAATTTAAAATTCCCATCAATTAAAATATAGTTATTGAACTGCCTCTGGTCGGTTTAACAATTTCTTACATAACATTCTGAAAATCACATCATCTGAAGTGATTTGGCAACGTTTTGGCACACGCCCACAATTCGTTCCATCTTTCAACACAGACATTGACAACCTTCGGCCTTCTGTCAAAGGTTCATCTCACTCATTATTCCATGACCACCATTTTGTGCAATCATCAAGTGGCTTCACGACGTAATGCTCTAATGTTTTCTAAATAATTTTTAATCTGTCTTTAACTTGTCTTGTCATATTTTATATAGTTTTAACCATTGTACCATGTATCCAGCTCTCACCATGTTACTGGACGTTTTTCTCATACTATACGAAAACAACAATTAGCAACATCCTCACAAACTACTGTAAGTTGATTCAATTTAAATTCATTTTACACTTTTGTTGCTACTGTTATCATTGTAATTGCAGCTCCTGATGATGATGGCAAAGTCCATTGAAAGCTAGAGAGAATTAAAAAAAAGTATAAGGAGTCCTCTTTGCTTAAATTTTGTCGAAGTACCCAACAAAAGGCGGAAGCTTTAATTTTTCACCTATATATATATATATATATAACTTGAGACACCTATACAGGGTGTCCGCAAAGTTGGGGTTTTCCTTTTCAGAAACAACTACCCTTGAAATAACAAAGGTAATGTGTAGTGAAACGAGGGCGACCAAGTAAAAGAAAATAAAGGAAAAAGTACTCACTCTCCAGTTGACGAGAAGGGCTAAGTACGTCTCTGCCCGAAATCATACCGCTCCAACAGAAAATGAAATCAGCTGATGCGCTACCGAGCAGACGCAAACAAGGAAGGCAAAATGTTGCGCAAAAAGTCTAGGTATTGCATCCCGTCCAATCGATTTGGGAGAATAAATTTTCCAATGACTCCGGATTATTGTCGTGTTGATGCAACAACCACTCACAAAACCGCACTCTTGCTGGAAAATCGTCAGGTTGAAGGGCTTGTACACGTTGGACGTGAAACGGATACAGCCCCTCTTCACGCAGCGTTTGCCACACTTTAGTTTTTGATACTTGCACTTCTCTAGCCACGTCTCTAGCGCTTGTTGTTTTTTGAAACGCAATCGATTATACGGGTTCGTTTACCTCTACACGCGTGACCGTAACCGTCGGTTGAAGGTTGCATACTAACCTGACACACTGACCCCGACCCAGTTCTGCCGTCGGTTTGAGACCTTGTACCAGTCGGGGATATCCCGGCGGGTCGCGGCTACAGGACGGTATTCAGATATTTTTGATGTTGCAGAGCCCTTTATCTCGGTTCCCTTAAGACATTGGTGTATATGGTACTAAGGAAAATTGCTTATGTTTTCAAGATCTACACGTCGTGTAAAGGAAAACCCCAACTTTGCGGACACCCTGTATATACTCGTATAGAGCGGAACTCTGCAAAGAAGCGGTATGCGGTCATTTTTACCATCTTAATGTAAAAAGTTTGTTAAGTTATTGTTTGTTACTTACCGTTCCTTATATTTTAAAAATGATTAATAAATGTGCTTCCATTGAATTGAATTTTCTTACAGTTTTTCGACATGGTTTTTTATTTCCTTAAATACGGAATAATTTGAAGAGATACCAAGAGACAAAAAAGTTGTACTTTCATCTAGCTAATTGGATAAAAAAAATATATATATATATACAGGGTGGCGCTTCGAAAACGAAACAGACGCATTTACTGGCAGCTCAGTTCTTTTTGGAAAAACGCTCGGACCCGTCGAGTTTGTTTTCGAGCGGGACACAAGTTTGGCAAAAAATCGCGTTAACACGTGCAGCCCCCTGGGCGGGGGTGACACCAACCCTAAAATCTTAAATGGAAAGGGGGGTCGAGTGATACCTTATTTTAAAGGTCTTTCAATTCCCTTTATAATGATGTAAAATACATGAGCTTCAGTTCAATAGTTTTGAAGATTTATTGATTTAAAGCTTAAAGTAGACTTTAATAGGTATATCAAATTAGTTTGTACTACTACTTAATAAGTAAATGCTTTTCTTCACTACGCCCATGGTTTGTTTATCATTTTGTTGTTGAAAATAGCTATTGGAGGGTTTTTTGTGGCAAAAAAGTTATTTCTTGAAGAAAGATACATACAAGTTATTTTAGCAACAAAGTTTGGTCAAATCAATCGCAAACTATGTACTAAATTCCTATTTAAAATAAGTACGAGATATTTCCTTATATATATATATATATATATATATACTTTTTTAAGTCATTAGCGTGCATTTTTTGCCAATATTATTATTGAGGCTGTCCCCTGAGACGTCTCTGGAATAATTATTCATATATTGTGATCACTTAAATTGATATCAACGGTCAGAAATAGAGAACTGTAAGTTTCGAGTCAGAGTCCAGTCAGACATTGGAATTTTTTTAAACTTTGACAGCCTGAAACTTGAAAAATCCATATGTTTATATAAACTTTTCTATTTAAATTCTACTTAGGAATGCGCCCTTGTAATAACGACCTATCATTAAGTAATACCCTTCATTTTATATCAATGCAAGGGAAGTGCTTAACCCATTTTTTTTTTGTTCCAGCCATGCCCGATGACCCCCAGCCAACGGTCATCTCAACCACCAAGACCAAGCCACATCCCCCCACAAGAGACGAAGAGGATGACGTCATCTCGAACGCCATTGGCGAATTCGGCAAATGGCAGCTGCTCCACACTTTCCTCTTGTCACTGTTCAACGTGCCTTGCACGTGGCACATTTTTGCACCCACCTTCCACGCGGCGGAGAGAGACACGTGGTGTGCCAGGACGCATGCGTATAGGTGAATATTGTTTTTTACTTTCTACGCCTACGGGCGAAAAATTCAGAATATGAGATTTTTTTGTCTGTCCGCAACTGTCTTCAACTTTTCACACAAGGTTACTGCTATAGGAAGGACGAAAAAGCTTTGTACTTTTTTGGAAATTGGTTCAGTGACGGCGGAAAGAAATGTAGCAAAAAATAAAAAACGCTCAAACTTCGTTTTTTGACGTTTTAGAGTACCCTGATCGATGGTAGATTTTTGATGTTCTCTAATGCCAAAATCACCATTTTTATTCCCTGTGGTTACAAACCAACAAAGCTGAATCGGAGTAATTTGAGAGCCGATTTTGAATATGGCCATCACAAAAGCTAGTCCTTAGGCTAAGTCCATTTTTGTCTAAATTGACATGACAATATTGTGAATATTTATTCGATACTTACTGAACCTAAAGTATTAAATTTTAACTTTGTGTAATTAGAGCGAAAGGTTTCATACGCAAAAATACAAAAAAAAAATATCCCAAGCAAAATTATCTCCAGACTACTTATACAGGGTGTTTCAGTTTATTGTTGCATAACTTTAAGATTCGATTGAACTTTTAAATTAATGCATAAAGTCTATATAAACATGGATCGAAAAATGCGTGGCTTCCGAAATACACGGTGTTTAAATTTACTTTTTAAAATGGTTTTTAACAATATTTCGAACAATATTTGAGGTATAACAGTGAAAATTGGTATACAAGGGTTTTTTGGTACGACAAAACGAACCGCGGGCATAGTTTTGCTGTAGCAGAGAGAGGGCGCTCTCTACTGTACCTGCAGTGTATTAAAATGACCGAAAAAAATTTCTTAGTGCAATTTTTGCTTTTTGAATAACAAAACTGATTCTTCGCACTTTTCTGCATAAAAAAGCTCTCCTGTGAGTTTACGTTATAGTTAGCCGTTTTTGAGATATTTCGATTTTTAAGGTTCGATGCATTTTTAATTATATATGGGAAAATAATATTTTTTTACATTTTCGATTGGGCATTACAAGTAATTAAGATGATCGTTTAGATTGTGTTTTTAAACACATCAATAATTCCTAACTCCAAATAAACACAAAAAACATAATATTAATTTGTTTAATTTTCCAATATTATTTTTAACAAATTAAATTAATTATTTACAACTAAAATGCTATTGATAGTTAGGACAAACCTACAAAATCTAAAGTAGTTGCTCGAAATGTAAACCCAATTATTCAATACACAATTCACATCTACGAATGATCGAACGTGGTATGTATAGCATTATTCAAATAAGGCCTGATTTCATCACATGCATTCCTGATTCTGTCTATTAGCATATCTCTTATGGTTACGGGAGTCTGGTGCACTTTTTCTTTTAGAAATCCCCACACAAACAAATCTAATGGATTTAGGTCAGGGGATCCTGGAGGCCAGGCGACTGGTCCTCCACGGCCGATCCATCTTTCTGGATAATTTTCGTCCAGCCAGTTTCTAACTATTCTCGAATAATGAGCTGGACAACCATCAAGCTGGAACCAGGCCAATCTTCTTAAATCTAACATAACATCATCCCACATATTTGCATGTTCAGCCTTTAAAATTCCAAGAAGGTCGCAGCATTTAACCTTGCAGGCAAAAGGTAGGGTCCAAATAGTCGATTACGGTAGATACCAATCCACACGTTCACACTAAATTCATGCTGAAAATTTCTTTCCCGAACTGCACGCGGATTTTCATGCGACCAAATATGTATGTTGATTATGAAAATTTACCACTCCACGTCTAGTGAAGCATGACTCATCGGTCCATAAAACGTTACTTAAAAACTCCCTATTATAATCAGTTCGATCAAGGATCTACTGACAAAATGTGATTCTTCGTTCTCCGTCCCCTGGCTGTAGTCCTTGCACAGGTTGCAAATGGTAAGGACGTCTATGGTCATTTCTAAGAACACGGTGAACATGGCTTGCTGAAATTCCCAAGGCGCCAGAAACTCTCCCAACACTTGTGGTCGGATCTCTATCAAACTCACGCAGAATCATACAGGTAAATCTGCGCTGACGAACATTTATGTTTTGATCCCTTTGGAGATTTCCAAAACCATTTTCAATTATTTGGCGATGCACTCTTACAAATACTGAGCGAGTTGGATGTCGTCTGTTTGGAAATATTCGTGCGTATTCTCTAGCTGCTTCTGCTGCATTTCCATTTACAAAGCCATACACAAAATGAATATCCGCTAACTCTTGATTGGAGAATAAAAATGGCATTTTTATAAAACTTACAAAAAAAAGGTAAAAGAAACTAAATTTCATGCATTCACAATTGCAAAAAAACGTTTCAGGTTTCAACAGACAACAGAACTAACTGTCAACTAATTGACGTTTAACCTTATTCTGCTTTCAATTTCAAAAATATTTGCAGGCACAGCCTACTTCTAAAAATTATCGAGATACTGACTTTTTAACGTTATTTTATCATAAATAATTAAAAATGCATCGAACCTTAAAAACCGAAATATCTCAAAAACGGCTAACTATAACTTAAACCCACAGGAGAGCTTTTTATGCAGAAAAGTGCGAAGAATAAGTTTTTTATTCAAAAAACAAAAAATTGCACCAAGAAAAAATTTTGGGTCATTTTAATACACTACAGGTACAGTAGAGTGCGCCCTCTAGCGGCTACAGTAAAACTATGCCCATGGTTCGTTTTGTCGTACCAAAAAACCCCTGTATACCAATTTTCACTGTTATACATCAAATATTGTTCGAAATATTTAAAAAAAAAATATTTTAGAAAGTAAATTTAAACACCCTGTATTTCGGAAGCCACGCATTTTTCGACCCATGTTTATATAGTCTTTATGCATTAATTTTAAATATTCTATCGAATCTTAAAGTTATGCAACAATAAACTGAAACACCCTGTATATCTAACCCAAAACTTTTTGAAATTTATTTTCCTGACTACTCATACAAAACTGCGTTGGAGTATTTTAGGGCTCTAAAACAACGAGTTGCTTGGGATCCTCAGTGTGTGATTCAGATTTGGAATGTACACTTCCATCAGGAGTGCCCAATATTTTTCGTAAATAGCATAGCTACTTTAGGCGATCCAATAAATTGAAAAATGTTTTAACCTTGAAGGAATTGGAGCGTGTAAAGATAAAAATTGTTGTCAATTTTTTCACAGCAACAAATTCACAAATAAATTGAGAGATTAGAGCTTGTTTTAATTTTCCGTCAATTGTTTGGGGTATTCTAGTTACTTTTGGTTCTTTCTTTGTTATTTGAGGGGTTCATGTTTTGTAATTTGAGATTATTATTATAATACTCACTGTTTCGCTTGGCCCTTTGATTTTAATTTGTGATTTAATATTTCAACAGAAACAATGAGTATGCAAGTACCTATACCGTCATATTTTTAGTGTTTAGGTTCATTATTCATAGGTTATGTTCTAGTATTTTTCCCTGAGGTTGGTATCATACGAAGTTACTATATATGTATTGGTATGGTTGAATAAATTTTATCAGGTTAATTTCGCTACCTGTTTCCTTGAAGAAATTAATCAATTTTTCTTTCAATTTATTCGTGAATTTATTTGATTGTGTGAAGCGGCTATTAGATTTATTTTCGATCACAACTAATTCCTCTCTGTATTATGAGGCATAAAAATAACACTCAAACAGTAAAATTAATCAAAACTGGTAGCCTTCAAAAATTGACTTACCTAGGACGTATACCTCATCGCTGGCCAACGGCTGCCTTTCTGCAAATCCTATGGGGTTAAAAACAGAAATCGAGAACCCTACACAAGTGTTGGCCACCACTAAATCACTAAATTGTCCTTAATCTCATTTCATTTACCGAAACTTAGAACGGTTATGCCATTTTAATCCGAACGGCATTACGCATTTGTCGTCTTTGTAGTGGTGCGCACCACGTGTACACTCGCCTAAGACAGCGCGCGAAATTTGAATATCGACGCATTGCTATTGCTAGACAAAACAAAACTGGCATCGTGCATACCGCGAACGTTACAGAAGGCACCAGGTAACCATGACAACCCGAAAAACAAATGAACAAGACCGGTACCGCAATTCTTGGAAAATTGTCTAGTCAGACATTCCGGTAGCGCACCGAAACAGATCTAGCAAGCATTTATATATTTGAATCATATTCCTGTCATCTTTTAAGGGCTATAGAAAAAAAACTATTTGGACAACTCAAATGGAGTTTTCACTATCAGGAAGCCTGATTTCTTGCGCTTATTCGCATGCCTGAATTTAATATGAAACCATTTAATTGTTTTTGTTGTACAGGGTGATTTAACTGAAATTCGCTATGCGGAATAAGTAGATGAACATCTTGTCTCTCGTTCTCACAAATAATGAGACTTGGTACATTTAAGGTATTTGATACGGTGAATCCGATTATGAGCGCAAAAAATGACGTCAAGTAGGTCGACTCTCTACTTCCCATGCAACGCTGTCATCAGTTGATAAATGACTATGTTCGGCACGAGAAAAAGACGAACATTTATAAAAAAATTACATTTATCGAGTTAGTCAAATTGGCCCATCCAATTAAAATTTGCATAGTTAGCAATGTACAATTTTGGGGCTTTTTAAATTTTTATTTACCCTGAAACCCTCTACGAATTTCTAACATACTGATCAAGGATGATATCCCAGCAAGGTGAAAATTTATTCCTGGGTAGTACTTAGTCAATCACCTTAACTATTACCTAAATACAATAAGCTATTTTTTTTAACCGCTTGAAAGCTGTTTCATCATGTTTATCCATTGTGATTGAAAATGCATATAAAACAATTTTACAGGGACATAGCACCTAAGGTATGGCGCGCCTGCACCCAACCTAATGGCGACTTCTGCCGAATGCTGGACGTCGGAAATGGAACCGACGGCGATTGGGAGGATTTCGCAGCAATGTGCACCAATGCCACTGGGTTAGCCATGGTCACGTGTGACACGTGGGAGTTTGGCGGTGAAGGTAAATGTCATTATTGTCGCTTGAACATATTTGATGAAAGAACTTCATAGTATTTGATAAGAAAATGGAGTTTTGTGAGCATTGTACACATCAATTATGTAATTAGACAGACAATAATGAGACTAGATCGAATAATGAAAATAATGATATTAATAATAATAAAACAATAGATATAATAATAAAACAAGTATAAGCAGTCCAACAACTATACAAATTGAAGCATTCGCAGATACATGTCTTGAACCGTATCGTCAGTCGCTCCTACAATTTATTGTTCATGGCCTCCTTGATTTTCATGTCCTTCAGAAAGATAGGGGTATTTCTAGATTCCTAGTGTTTCATGTCAACTCTCTATTTTGAGGTTATATTTTCTTTTGAATTCTAAGAAATTTCACGCTGATAAAACTTGATTCTTATCATCTATCCTGAAATTTCTTAAGATCCAACAGAAAACATAATCTTACAATAAGAGAGCGCTGACGCTGATACGGAACAGTGGAGATCTAGAAATACCCCAGCCTTTCTGAAGGTGTGAAAGACTGTTAAAATCAAAGAACGACTGATAGTACGGCCCTAAAGCCCGATTTTACTGTTGGTCAGCGAGAATAAAGTTTGCGCCTTTGACACAAATTTGACCAACGAGAAGGCGTCTTTGAAGTAATGGATCCAAGGAACTTGGTCGATTACTTTTAAAATGTCTCTCAAACTAGAGAAAAATTATAGATTTTTGTAAGATGGGCTTCTAATTAACATATTAACAAATCGTATGTACTCCATATATCAAATGAATCATCAACAAAAACCTATTTGTCATTTTGATGCAAATTCCACCAATCAAATAGAACGACTTGTGGTCTACTCAAAACATAGATCAAACCTGATACAATACATTGACATGACGCCATTATTTTCATGAAAATAACAGTCTCACTGTTGCTGTACAAATTTAAATTAAATAAATATAAAATAAAATTACAGAACGCTCATTCATTAACAAACATCGAGTGAATAATCAATTTACTTGGCTACGTGCAAAAACCCCTGTTCCTCAAGCCAGCCCTGTTACTGCGAGATGTCGCACACTCTACTGGACAGTAGGACGACTACGCGAACCCGCTGCGCTGCAGTGACAGTGGCAAAGCTAGAAGTAATCATCCTGCCGCCCAGCCGGGGGCGCGGGAGCTTCCTGTTAACAGGGCTGGCTTAAGGAACGGTTCTTTACACGGTAGTCAAGTACATTGAATATGTACTCGATGTTTGTTGAAGAATAAGCACTCTTAATTTTATGTATGTCAGAATAAAATGCTCATTTAAAATATGGCGAAGATTTTTCATTGGTGCATTTTATGACCAAGTCCGCTGATTTAGTATTAAAAACAGTTTTTTGTAGAAAAACCAAGTGACCTATGACGTACTTCTTACTACGCAAACCGTATAATTATTGTTCTCTAGTTTGAGAGACATTTTACAAGAAATCGACCATATTGGTTACATCCATTAAGTACTTCAAAGATGCTTAGTAAAATCTACTATTAACAATGTTGACGGTCAGTTGTTTTCACAGTCAGTTTCTTATCAAATCCAGCGAGATGATCTTCAAATGAAGCTAACGTTGGTATTCTATTGTTGCAGGTTCAACGATTATATCCGAATTTAATTTGGTCTGTGATAGAAAAAACTTAATAAACTTCGCTGAGATGATGTTTCTCGGAGGTGTAGCTATAGGTGGTTTAGTGTGTGGTATTTTGTCGGACAAGTACGGTAGAAAAAGGACTTTAATGGCTTCAGTTTTGATACAAACTATCTTAGGTAAGTAATTTCTTCTCTAGAAGAACCCAATTTATTTGTGAATACTGTTTAAAGTAAATCTGAAGAAGCGGTTTCAATTTTATCGGATCTCCAAGCGATCTAGTGACATCTGAACGGAAAAAAATAAAAATCGGTACGACGTCAACTTGTGTACTACAGTTAGGCCATAGGACCTATGAATGGCCCCACTAGTCCCATCTCTAAAGTTGATGTTACATCACGCGAGAGCCAAACAATATCGTCCAAGTGCCATGACGTATAGGCAACACGCACAGCTGCTGCAAGTGAACATGAAGTGAATGAACGACTAGCTCCGATGTGACATTTTTCGGAAAAACCTACGAAAAATCGACAAAGCGGTACTCCTTAATTTACTTAATATGGTCGCGGAGATCTTTTGTTGTTACAAAGTGCCAGTGGTTAGCATCTTGGGATAAAAGATATGCAGATCGGATGATCCAATGTCCGGAATAAAACTTATCCCCTATACCCTATGAGACTACCTCAACAGGACAATAGATATAACATAACTCAATAAAAATGACTAATACAGGGTGTGCGCAAAGTTGGGGTTTTCCTTTTCAGAAACAACTACCCTTGAAATAACAAAGGTAACGTGTAGTGAAACGAGGGCCACCAAGTAAAAAAAATAAAGGAAAAAGTACTCACTCTCCAGTTGACGAGAAGGGCTAAGTACGTCTCTGCCCGAAATCATACCGCTCCAACAGAAAATGAAATCAGCTGATGCGGTACCGAGCAGACGCAGGCAAACAAGGAAGGCAAAATGTTGCGTAAAAAATCTAGGTATTGCATCCCGTCCAATCGATTTGGGAGAATAAATGGTCCAATGAGCATACCGTTCACCATGCCAGCCCAAACATTCACCGAATATGTTTGTTGAAAATGTGCCCGACGGACAGCGTGCGGATTTTCAACTGACCAAACATGAGTGTTGCCCATTACGCGTGAACGTAGATTCGTCTGTCACCAATATGCACTTCAAAAAGTCCAGATTATTGTCATGTTGATGCAACAACCACTCACAAACCGCACTCTTGCTGGAAAATCGTCAGGTTGAAGGGCTTGTACACGTTGGACGTGAAACGGATACAGCCCCTCTTCACGCAGCGTTTGCCACACTTTAGTTTTTGATACTTGCACTTCTCTAGCCACGTCTCTAGTGCTTGTTGAGGGATTCTCGTCTACGCGATTACCTCTACACGCGTGACCGTAACCGTCGGTTGAAGGTTGCAGACTGACCTGACACACTGACCCCGACCCAGTTCTGTTGACGGGTTGAGCTAGTGTCCTAGTACCACTCGGGGATTGTCGCGGCTACAGGACGGTATTCAGATATTTTTGATGTTGCAGAGCCCTTTATCTCGGTTCCCTTAAGACATTGGTGTATATGGTACTAAGAAAAATTGCTTATGTTTTCAAGATCTACACGTCGTGTAAAGGAAAACCCCAACTTTGCGGACACCCTGTATATCAGGGACCCCCACTCAGCTGAATTCTGCTAACAAACACATCATTTTGAATTTTCTTCCAGGTTGCGCGATAGCCTTCAGTCCTTGGTTCCTCGTGTACGCCATCTTGCGAGCCTTGCTAGGCTTCATCTCAGTATCAGTGGTGTTCAGCGGCTTCGTGCTGGCCATTGAACTTGTTGGAGGTCATTGGAGGACAGTGGCTGGTATCTCCTACCTCTTCCCGGTCTCAGTAAGCTATATGACCATCGCTGGATTAGCATGGGAACTCAGGGAGTGGAGACAGTTGCAGGCGGCTATATCGTTGCCAGGATTCCTGTTTCTTGGACTGTGGTAGGTTCCTGTTTGTAGCTATTAGTTGTATTGATTATTCTATATCTTGACGTGCATGTAGATAAAGTAGACAAAGTGCGTAATCCAGGTATCGGAAGTAATTTACTGCAAATCAGTCTGCATAAGAGGTATTCCTAAGCTTATTGCTGTTCAATTACTGCCTTCATTATACTCAAAAAGTGATTTACTTCGAAAATAGTTCGGGAACTGATTAAAACTAAATGGAGACGTGCAACACTTAAAACAATGCGTTGACCAATTTAATTGTTTCTCTTATTTTGACCGCATAGCAAATTATTTCTACGGTGTATACTATACAGGGTGTGCCGAAAAAAAAGTGTGCAATATTCTACCAGCGGTTTCTAGATCTTAAAATAGGAAGAAAAGTTTATATAAACATAGGCCGACAAACATCCCCTAAGGGCGCTACGGTCTTTTAAAGGGGCTCCTTTGAAGCTGGTTTTTCCTTAATATTTCCAAAACGTGTTGAGATAAAGACATAAAATTTGGTATTCTAGCCTAGTTTTGATTCCTGGATTTAAAAATATTAACAATTTTAGACAGTTTTGTTTGGAAGCGTATGTAACAGGGACGGACTCAAGTTATGAGTCACATGATAGGAAATGTACTGCGAATTTAAATGAATCGTTGAATAACACTGGCCAACAAATTTTAGTTTTTTAATTGTATCTTGTGGGAAAGGTGCACTTCTTTGTTAATTTTGGGGCGCTGAATCCAAAAATGACAATGAAATAAAAAAATTAGATGCGGTTTAGAAAAAAAAAACTTTTTATTTTTAAGGATATATTAAAAAAAGTAACAAGATTCATATACTTATAAGAATCACTATATGCGCTGTCTTTCTGCTGTTCTTTTATGGATCGTTTTCTGGAGCATCTCTACCAAGAGTCCAACAGTAGTCTGCAAGCATGGAAGGATTCCACTTTCCCTGGTACCTTTTTTCCATTGTTGAAATATCCTGATGAAACTGTTCGCCGTGCTCATCACTTACGGCTCCGCAATTGTCAGGAAAGAAGTCCAGGTGTGAGTGTAGGAAATGTATCTTAAGAGACATATTACAGCTCATCTTTTGATACGATGACAGCATATTCTTGACAATGGTTTTATAGTTGTCAGCTTTTCTATTTCCCAAGAAATTAGTGACCACCAGACGGAAATCATTCCAAACAGTTTTTTCAATACCTGTTAAAGTGTTTTCAAACTGTGTATCTTTCAAAATATTTCGAATCTGTGGCCCAACAAAAATACCTTCTTTAACCTTTGGAAATTTCTGACGCAAGTATTGAAAAGCTGACCCATCTCTATCTAATGCCTTGACAAAGTTTTTCATTAGGCCCAACTTGATATGCAGTGGTGGTACATAATACAATTTTTTTCGAATCTACTAATGGCATATGCTGTACATTTTTTTGACCTGGCTCTAGGAATTGACGAACAGGCCAGTTTTGTCTGGTGTAATGAAGTGCCTTTGCCCGACTGTCCCATTCACACAAAAAACAGCAAAACTTTGTGTAGCCTAGCTGCAGCCCAAGTAAAAGTGCAACAACTTTCAAATCGCCACAAATATGCCATTGGTGCTCATCGTATTTTATGCATGTCAATAGGTACTTCATATTGTCATATGATTCTTTCATGTGAACTGCATACCCTACAGGAAGAGATGGTAAAATATTTCCAATATGCAATAACACTGCCTTTAAACTCAATGTTGAACTATCTATAAACAATCTCCATTCTTCTGGGTTATAGTTTATATTTAAAGCCGCCAGTAAGCCGTTAATGTTACTGCAGAAAACCAAGTTATTGTCCATATTGAAAAATGGTTCTAAGTCTTTGTGGCGTTTACGAAAAACACATACCGAAACATCGTCTTCTAACAAGTTCCACTGCTGCAGTCTTGATCCAAGTAACTTTGCCTTACATTTTGGAAGTTCTAAGACGTGCTCGGTATAAAATCAGGATCTCTTGACGTTGATGGCATATCTTCTGCCTGACAAATCACTCGATCGCCATGATCTGATTCGTTTTCTGATTCGCAAGTGTAGGATTCTGGGGGTTTTGGAATAGGATTTTCGTCACTGTGAGGCACAGGTCTCATCGCAGATGGTATGTTTGGGTAGTTAATAACCGATTCTTTTTTCTTGGACATACCTGTGGCTTGTCCAACACAAGGTACCATGCAAAAGTAGCAATCATTAATATGATTTGTAGGCTCTCTCCAAACCATTGGGACAGCAAAGCGCATCGACCGTTTTTTGCCATTTAACCAGCTCCTCAGACTTGAAGCACATGTATTACAGCAGATGTGGGGTGCCCACTGTTTGTCTGGATCACCTAGTTTACAACCGAAATAAAGCTGATATGCCTTTGTTATTAGTGGAGTAATAGACCGTCTCTGAGACGCAAAAGTCACATCACCACACACGTAACAAACTGATCTGGATTGTTTACACACTTTCGAGACACCTTGCATGAACGCTGTCAGCCAACTGAGGAAAAAATGGCTAATATAAAACAATATAATGTACACGTATGTATAACGTAACACAATCATGCCGATTACATCATCTTTCCTTGCCGAATATAAAAATGTAGCACGTGCATTCTTGTGAATTACAGTATATTAACACTGTCACAGCAGGAACACATATAATTACCGTATCTCTAAAACTTGAACTAATATTGAAAAAATAAATTTCATTCCGGTTTTAGCACATTAAAAATAGTAATATTTTGTTGATTTTATTTAGGATATTTTTTGGCTGTTGATCAGTGATTCAATAAGAGTACCTTTTTTATGTAGAAAACCCTAAATTTTCAAATTCTAAAATTGGATTTCAAAAATAGAATGATACACAAATTTTGGGGCTAAAATAACCTGAGTCCGTCCCTGTTACATACGCTTTCAAACAAAACTGTCTAAAATTGTTACCATTTTATAAATCCAGTATAAAAAACTAGGCTAGAATACCAAATTTTATGTCTTTATCTCAACACGTTTCGGAAATATTAAGAAAAAACCATCTTCAGGGGAACCCATTTAAAAGACCGTAGCGCCCTTAGGGGACGTTTGTCTACCTATGTTTATATAAACTTTTATTCCTATTTTAAGCTCTAGAAACCGCTGGTAGAATATTGCACACTTTTTTCGGGACACCCTGTATATAGTTGGGAATGTAATAAACCAGAGAACTTCCATAAATATGGTTACTAAGAAGGTATAGTCTTTTTTATTTCTGAATTTAAAGTTTTTAATTTGCCCCACACAATTTGACGAGTTTGGAAGGTCCTTCCACGCTAGACACGTCAAGTCAAAGTATAAGCCACTTCCCGGGATAAAAATTAGCATTTGCGCTATTCCAGACAATAAACCTATCTCTGCACCAAATATCAGCCAGATCCGGTCAAATCCTTTGGACGTGATTGAGTAAGAAAAATTCACACTTTCTCGTTTATAGTAGTAGTCAACCTACTTGACACTTTTTTTTCCAGCATGTAAACGTGATCGTGTTGGACGATATGTCAACGCGGGAGTTCACCATGGATCGGTTTTGACCACAACATTGTTTTTGTTGAATTTTAGTACCAATTGCTATTTACAAGCTTTGCTTGTTTGTTGAAGATTTATTTATACAGCATTACACAGTTTTTTTAATCCTTTGAATCTGCAATTTTTCCATTCTTGTCTGTTAAAATTATATCACTATGCATTCTGAGTATCCATAAAGTGATTTTTTAATTTCACCCTTAAATTCGAACACTGTTTAATATCATTAATTTAATTTATTAAATCCAATTGCTGCCTTTTGAAATACAGATTTGCGAGTTATGCTACTGTTACAATTTTGCAGATGAAAATCTATACAGCCTCGAGTTTCGTATTTATGATAATGACTATCCAATTTTGCTTTTTTCTAAGTGTGATGGTGATAAATGATTTTTTTAATTCGAATATGAAAATGAGAACTAAGTAACATATGGAATTTTTTATATTCAACCATTGTAGTTCTTCTAATATAGACTTAATCCTAGCATATTCATTTTTATTTAAAATGATTCTCATAAATTTATTTTGTAGAATTTGCGGTTTTGAAAATATATTTTCATTTCCTGTAAACAAGATGGTTGAACAATAAAAAAAACTGATTGATTGATAAGAAAGAATTATAGTGTTATTCACAATTTTTTTGAATTACATGCTAAAATTGTGGGAACCTCTATAAAGGTAATTTATCTTCTTTGATATTTTTGAAATAATGTATATTGCTCGTGAGATAGTAATTTACTGTCCACATTTATACCCAGATATTTCAATTTTTCATCATTAATCATGAGCTTAATTGTGTTATCCCTGTTGACATACATTTTGTTTTATTAATGATTAATATAAGTTTATTAACATTTAACAAATTCATAATTTTTTAATATCACTATTTAACCATTCTAAAGCAGTGTACAATAATGTGCTATACATATATCAATGAATCGTCCGCAAGTATTTGAATTTTGCAGTGTTCTATATTGTCTAATATCATCAAAAACAGATGTTAACAACTATAGACCAATATCAATAATATCCAGTGTAGCAAAGGTTTTTGAAAAAGTTTTATCTACTAGAATGATTCGATACCTCACAAAATTCAAAATTTTAAGTGAAAATCAATATGGATTTACAGAAGGGAAGGCTACATCGGACGCAATAACTAAAATTGTAAATCAAATACATCAAAATATTGATAACAGAATCCCTTCAATCTGCATTTTTGTTGATTTAAAGAAAGCTTTCGACACAGTTAATCACAAATTATTATTAGAAGCATTGGAGAGAATTGGTTTCAGAGGAAACGCGTACTCACTGATCGAAAGTTATTTGTCAAATCGCCCACAATCTGTGCAGATATCAGGATCATTTAGTAAAGAAATGTATATTAAGTGTGGTGTCCCACAAGGAACTATCTTAGGTCCGCTGTTATTCAATATATATTTAAATGATATTTTCCAAATTAATTGTGTTGGCAAAATAACTAGTTTTGCAGATGATACTGCAATATTATATGAAGGCACTGACTGGTCTGATCTGAAAAATGTAATTGAAAATGATTTTATCAAAATTATTCGGTGGTTTAACAGTAGAAAATTAAGCATTAACTACTCTAAAACACATTTTTTACCATTTGGATCTTATGCTAGACATCTGCCAAATTACACAAATTTCTCCTTCAATATTAATGATCAAAAAATGCAAATTAATAGAGTGCCCAACATAAAATACCTTGGAGTGGTATTGGATCCTCACTTACGATGGGACATCCATGTCAATTATATTTTAAAGAAAGTTAGATTTGTATCCTACAAAATTAAATACCTTGGGAATATATTGACGGAAAAATATCTTCGAACATTATACCATGCACTGATTGAGCCTCATCTCACATATGGTATATTAGCATGGGGAGCTGCATGTTCCTCACATATCTATAATTTAGATGTTTTTCAAAAAAGTATTCTAAAAATGATATTTAAAAAAAACGAAACTTTATCCCACTGAAAAATTATACGCAGATGTTCGAATGTATGATATAAGACAGCTTTATTTCTTACACAGTATCACTCACTACCATGCGACAGTAATGCCCATCACGTTGCGTGGGGCAGCTCGAACACCAACAGACGAGGCGAAGACCTGATGGAGTTTCTTGGGGCATCGAACCTTGAGGTTCTGAATGTCGGTAACATGCCCACTTTCAGCAATAGTGTAAGAGAAGAGGTTATCGACGTAACACTGAGCACGCTTAACTTAGCTCAGGACATCAGGGACTGGAAAGTGTCTCTAACACCCTCTCTATCGGATCACAGGTATATACTGTTCAAGACTGATGGAGAGATTCCGGATAAATATGCTCGGAATCCCAGGCATACTAGATGGGGGTCCTTTAGGGCAGACATTGACAGTAAGCTTGGAGCGGTCCCATACAGGCTTGGCAGGGGCTCTGACATAGAAGCAGCTGTCGAGTCTCTGAGCAGGGACTTGACGGCCGCATATGAGGAAAACTGCCCGTTACGCAAAGTACAAGGTAAGGGCAAGGCAACCTTCTGGACCAAAGATTTAGAGGATAGAAAACGAGCGGTGCACAAACTTCTTAGCAGAGTTAAGCACAGGAGAGGTTCTCCTCTATGGGAAGAATACAAAAAGGCATTGCAGGAGTACAAAAAGGAGATTAGAAGGGCCTCCAGAGAATCCTGGAGGCACTTCTGTCAGTCCATAAATGACATTCCTGCTACTGCAAGAATACACAGAGTCCTATGCAAAGACACTAAAGCAAGATTGGGATCTCTGCATGATCCCTCGGGAGGGAACACTACTTCCGAGGAAGATACTCTGAGGCTTCTGATGGATACGCACTTTCCCGGTTCCACAGTAGCGCGATCAATCACAGAGTGCATGCAGTTGCGCAGGCCCTCAAGGGAGGACTGGCGCACGGCAAGGGAGATTGTCACCTTCGAAAGGACGGTATGGGCAGTAGATTCGTTTGCCCCATACAAAAGTCCAGGTCTGGACGGCGTATTTCCGGCCATGTTACAGCAGGGACGGATTTCGGTTGTTCCTTACCTGTTGAATGTGTTTCGAGCATGTGTGGCCACGGGCTTCACACCTAGAAGTTGGCGGCAGGCTAAAGTGGTATTCATTCCTAAACCGGGCAGAGATAGATATACTGGCCCGAAGGATTTTCGACCGATTACTCTTTCATCTTTTGTGCTTAAGACCCTGGAAAGGATAGTTGATAGATACCTAAGGGATGGCCCACTGGAAAGGTGTGTCATTCATGCAAATCAGTTTGCATACCAAGCTGGAAAATCGACTGATCTGGCCTTACACAATCTGTTTGGGAGGCTGGAGAAGACTCTAGATCAGCGAGAAGTGGCGCTCGTGGCCTTCTTAGATATTGAAGGTGCATTTAATTGCACCACAACCGACTCTATCAGACAGGCCTTGGTTAGACACGGGGTTGGATCAATCCTAATAGATTGGGTCCTCTCTACTCTGGAGGGTCGGGTAACAACAGCTATGCTGAATAACGTAAGCTGCAGCGTGAACGTAGCTAGAGGCTGCCCTCAGGGTGGAGTTCTGTCACCCCTACTGTGGTGTATCGTGGTGAACGAACTGCTCGTTAGGCTCAACAGTATGGGTGTCTACGTGCAAGCCTATGCTGATGACGTAAGCATAGTGGTTAGGGGGCGTTTCTGTAGAACAGTCTCGGAAATTATGCAGGGCGCTCTGCGCTCCGTGGAATCGTGGTGTAGGGAAGTCGATCTTTCTGTTAATGCTGAAAAGACCGAGCTGATCCTATTCACTAGGAGAAGAAGGCTTGACGGACTGGTCATGCCTACCTTCTTTGGGACTAGATTAGTTTTGTCCCAGTCAGTGAAATATCTGGGAATTATCCTGGACTGCAAACTGAACTGGAGAGAGCATGTGGAACACAAGGTTAGCAAGGCTCGCAATTCGATGTGGGCTTGTAGACGTGTTGTCGGTGTAAGGTGGGGGCTTAAACCCAAAGTGGTATACTGGCTCTACACGACGATAGTACGTCCATCTCTCTTGTACGGCTCCCTGGTCTGGTGGCCTTGCATTAGAACTGAGTCAACTAAGGCCAAACTCAATAAAATTCAGCGTTTGGCCTGTATTAGCATTACAAGCGCAGTGCGAACAACGCCATTGAGTGCAATGGAAGCTCTGTTGGATCTCCCACCGTTGGATCTGGTGATCCGCGGTGAAGCGAGAGTAGTCGCTCATCGACTGTGGAGTCAGGGCAGCTGGGCTTTCTTGAATCCGGTCAAGGGGCATACTGCCATATTAGTCGAATTAGAAAGGGAGGACCCCGTCCTTCTAAGCAGGGGTGATCGTATTACCCCTAAATATCGCTTCAACCGCAAGTTCATTGTGGAGTACCCAACGAGGGAGGAGTGGGACGCCGGTAGCCGAGGACTCTCCGAAGTGAGCGGGCAGGTCTGGTACACGGACGGCTCGGTCACCGAAGAGGGCTCAGGTGCTGGGGTCTCTGGACCTAGAACTAGGCTATCTCTGCCTCTCGGTGAGTACACCACCATTTTCCAGGCGGAAATCTTTGCGATTCTGGCTTGTGTATCTCACATTCTGGAGGAGGGTGGGCCTAGGAGAAGAATAACAATCTTATCCGACAGCCAGGCTGCAATGAAAGCACTAAGTGCATGTAAGATTACTTCGAGTCTTGTATTGCAATGCAGGGAGGCTCTGGATTGCCTCGCAGCGAGGCATATGGTATCGTTAATATGGGTACCGGGGCACGCTGGGATAAGGGGCAATGAGACGGCGGACACTCTGGCGAAAACAGGATCAGCCAGCAAGCTCGTTGGTCCTGAGCCAGCTCTAGGAGTAACCGCGCATAAAGCTAGGAGGAAAATGGAGACGTGGGTTGCAAGACAACACTCTCAGAAATGGAGAAGTATCTCTAGACATCTCCGCCAGGCACGAGAGCTCATTGAAGGGCCCAGTGCTAAGGATGGACGCTTCTGCCTATCTCTGGGTAGAGCCAACCTAAGGTTGCTGGTGGGACTGTTGTCTGGCCATAACACGTTAAGGCGGCACCTGCACGTGATGGGGGTGGCTGAGGATCCCTTATGCGAACGCTGCGGAGTAGAGGAAGAGACCTCGGCGCACGTTTTGTGTCGCTGTGAAGCTCTGAGCTACTATAGGCAGACTATACTGGGGTCCATTACTTTGGACCCTCAGGACGTAAAGGAGCTTGGACTCAAGGCGATTCTCAACTTCGCTAAAAGGGCGAGGCTTGTGATTTAAGTATTGTAGAGGTGCATAAGGGCCCGCTTAAGCGGCCTATGCACTGGCTCCTTATGGTGGCCGGGATGCCTCTAAAATTCAAGATTCATTCATTCATTCATTCTATATCTAGGACATAAATACGAACATCAACTAAATACATAATCTACTGTAGCTAATTTTTGTCATTTTTTGTCATTTGCATTCTACAGTTTCAACTTAAATTTATTGGTCCATGTACAGGCGATGCCTTCTATTGGGCCTGTTTTGATTTTATATTTATTTACTCATATTGTTTGTTATCTTTGTACATTGAGTGAATAAATATTATTATTATTATTATTATATCATAAATAGTAACGGCCCTAATTTACTCCCCTGTGGCACACCTACTGATATATTTTGAATGTTTGACATAATATGTTCAACTTTAGTTTTTTGACTTCTATTTGCTAAATAATGTTTAATGTTCAATACTGATCATTAAAAACCATAGTGGTGCAATTTCAATTCCCTATCTATAGTCTCAAATTGCCTTTTGAAGTCTAAAAACATTGTTACAATACGTTCTTTCTCATCTATACTTCTTCTACAATCTTCCACAACCATTTAGATTGCTGTTTCTGTAGAATATCTGTTTCAAAATCCACCTTGATTTTTTGTCAAAATTTTGTTTTCTCCAATGAAGCCAATGATTTTTCCGAATATTATCCCTTCGAACAGCTTTTCGCCATCTGGCGAGACTTTAATCGGCAGAATACTTGTGTATATCTCAGAATGTTGAACTTTTAGCACAGAAATAATAATTATGTATTATAGCCTGTTCCATGCACGTATTTTTTTAACAAGAACCTAGAGGTACTGTAGTACCCTAGCTTCTTTTAAATGGCATGGGTATCATGTAATACCTCATTTTTATCTCCAAGTGAACTCTTGGCAAGCCTCGGATTGTAAATGTATGATGTATCCTCAGCAAACATCGCTTTAGAAGTGCACTTTCGCTGTTGACAAGCCATCTTACTATATTTCACACACAGACAGATAAGAGCTACAACTTTATTATTTTACACTATGAACGGTTGAGATAACAGAGTGCATTCTGCAATAAAATTGATTTACGTCAGACAGATAAGAGGTTAAGGATTAAAATGCCAACGATTCGCGAACGATTTTATGGTTTTAGGATCCATGTTAACTGGATTTTTATGAATAAATCGATTTCGACGTCGTTAACTCATGAATGAAACATTAAATTTACGTCCCGATAACTGGAACTTGGTATATATACAGGGTGTATCATTTGAAAACTTCACACCATGGATTTATCGAAGATGACTGATTAAAAGAAATAACGCCGAGACACGACAAAATATTTGTCAAGGGGGATAACTTTTTAACCAAAAACTACTTCATCTTCGGCCCCACGAAGGTCATTCCCTTAACCCTGGAGCGCTTAGGCGAATAGCACGGCTATAGTTGCTTAGGCGGGGTTACCAATAACCCCAGTGATATATTCCTATTTAATGAACAAAATATAAAAGATAGACACTTTTGTTTCAATAATAAAACATTTATTTCAAACACTCGGTACATATTTCAGCGCGATGATTACTGCAAACAGCCTTGAAACATTTCGCACAGGCAGTTTTTGTTTTTCGGTCATTTGTTCTTGGACATAAAATGCAGCGAGTCTGTTTTAGCAATTTTGCTGGAGGCGGATCAGCTTTTTCTTCTGTTTTCATATCTAGAATATTCATTATTGATTCTTTCAATTTTCGAGGTTTGTCAAACGTCTTTCCATATGAGGCCTGACCAGTTGTAGTCCAAGTTCAAATAGGTATTTTCGACGAACACTTTTTTGTCTATCACGCTTAACAATTTGGAAAATAATGTTGGAGTTAATGCCTGCTTGATCCATTATACCATAAAAAAAGCGTAATGGCCACCTGCGTGTTTTGCGGGATACCGAATATGTGTGCACCATCTGGTCAAAGGTATCGACACCTCCTTTGGTAGAATTGTAAAAATTTATTATCTCGGGTTTTTTATTTTCATCTATTGTACTACCAGAATGCATTGTCGATAAAAGTAGCACAGATTTAGACTTCTTGGGTGTGACGGACACCAAGGTTTTTGGTTGTCGAATCCAAATTGAAAAGACATAATTTCTTTTCGTTTGTTTGGGAGAAATGATGGAGGAATTTCCCTCTTGTTTTTTCTGAGAGTACCCACAATGGTCAAATTGTAGTCAACAAGCATTTTGTCAGCCAGTGGGATGGAAGTAAACCAATTGTCCATCGTCAAATTGCGTCCGGTTCCGTGAATGGGTTCTGTCAGTTTTCTTACGTAATAAGCTGGGAGAGGTTCTTTATTTGGCCTATTATCTGAATCAGGTTCATTGTCGAGTTCTTCATTCCATCGTAACAGAGTTTCTTCAAATTTGGGATCATCTGGTCGTACAGCCATCTAAATAAATTACGTAATCTAGTGTGTGGAATAAAATAAAAATACCAGTTTAAGCTTACCTGGGGTTACTCGTCACCCCAAACACAAAATATCATATAAACTATTGCACTGAACAAAAATGTGCGACCAACAACAGACACACTTTAACCTCAAATGAACATAGCGGGATCTCCGATGTTGCCAATTTATGCACGAAAAATTAGTGAACATTTGAATTTCTTTGGGGTGATGCGAAACCCCACTAACCCCACAGGGTTGAAAATTTTGAGTGACAAAGGGTATCAAGTAATAGCTTGTTTGAAAGGTCTTTAGAAGTCCTTTATTTTCACGTTTGATTTTTCAGAATCAGTCGATCCGTTTTCGAGAAAATTAGAAAAAACCTTTATTTATCCTAATTTGTTCACACAGAAGATAAAAACGCACGAAAATATCGCTTTTTATTTCGATAAGCATTACTAAATTTACACGAACTGGATCTGTTGCAAATAAGAAACATGATCATCGGAGAGTTTTAAATGAAGCCGCTCAAGTTGAAGTTTTGGGTCATTTTGGAATAAATCCTAATATGTACTTCATTACGCCAAATTGTTGCTGCGACTGGTATTTCGTTAGGCTCTGTACATACAGTTACTAAACACCACAAATTTAATCCATTCAAAATGAAAATATTGCAAGAGTGCAAAGGTGAAGTAGTTTTTGATTCAAAAGTGGTCCCCCTTGACAAATCTTTTGACGTGACTCGGCGTTTTTTCTTTTAATCAGTGGTTTCCGATAAATCCCTAGTGGGAAGTTTTCCAGTGAACACTCTGTATACGGAGAAAATAGCTACTCAATTTGCGAGCACTTTATGGCTTCCTCATGTGTGTCACGATTTGGCTACGGTTCTGAGAAAATAAATTCGATTAATTTTAAGACGTTTCTTGTATTTTATCACTACTAAAATAACCAGAACACATAAAATGGTATGGTTATACGCAGACTTGCTTTTTTAAATAAACATTTCATATTCTATCGCTCACTTTTTCAGTAGATGTCATGCAATATGTTTGCTGTTCGTTGCCTGTATCCAAGAGGCCTGTATCCAAGAGGCCTGTACCTAAGGCCGGCCTCACGCAGCCGGAATTCAGAGACTGAACTCATATTATTAATTCCGATACGTTCCCTCAAAAAATACAGGGTGGCGCATCGAAAACGAAACAGATGCATTTACTGGCAGCTTAGTTTTTTTTAACGCTGAGACCCGTCGATTTTGTTTTCGAGGGGGACACAAGTTTGACAAAAAATCACGTTAACACGTGCAGCCCCCTGGGCGGGGGTGACACCAACCCTAAAATCTTAAATGGAAAGGGGGGTCGAGAGACACCTTATTTTAAAGGTCTTTCAATTTCCTTTATAATGATATACAATTAATGTACTTCAGTTCAGTAGTTTTGAAGATTTATTGATTTAAAGCTTAAATAAAACTAATACAACATCATTAGTGGAGATCAATACATTTGGCAGCAAAGTAATTTAAAAATGAAGAATGAACTGACCCGTTAGGCAAGTCAATGTTGAAAATGGCCACCATGACTCTCCATGCAATAATAAAGATTTTGTTCAAAACGTTGCCGCACATTTTGCAATATTTGAGGAGTAAATTGAAGGCACTCAATCACAATTCTTTGTCTCAGGTCTTCTAATGATGTTGACTGAGTAGCATAGATTTTGCTTTTTAAATGACACCACATAAAGAAATACAAAGGTGATAAATCTGGCGATCTTGGGGGCCATTCAATGGCAGCTCTTCTACCAATCCATCGATCTGTAAACGTCTGATTTAAATATTGTTGAACACGTAATACGTAATGTGGTGGGGCACCATCCTGTTGGAACATCAATTTCAATCAGGGTTGTTAATGCAGTATCTATGGCGTCTTCCAGTAATTCCAAATACATTTCACCTGTCAAATTTCCAGGTAAGAAAAAAGGTCCAACTAAATTATCGACAAAAGTACGAGCCCAAACATTTAATTTCTGTGGCTGCTGTGTATGAACCTCATGATAAATTCTGGGATTAGAATCGGACCAATATCGGCAGTTATGACGATTTACTACGCCATTTAAGAAAAAGGAACATTCGTCGGAAAAGCAAGTGTTGAATAGAAAATGTTCAGCGTTTATAATTCGTTCACTCATATCTTCACAAAATTGTAATAGCAGATCAAAGTCGTCTTCATTAAGTTCTTGTACCAGGTGAATTTTGTACGGCTGAAAACTTTAGACTCCGTTGGACAGTAAGTCGACTAAAACCACACACAGTCTCCAATTTGCGGGTACTTAACGTAGGATCTACATAAACTTGCCCTAAAACCACCACTTCTATTGCTACGTTCCTTATGGGGTTTTCAATGCTGCGTTTTTTATTGGCGACTGACCCAGTTTCCCAAAATTTAGCTACAAGTTCTAGAACATATTTTCGATGCACGTTACTGTTCTCATGTCGCTCATTAAATATCTCTGCTGTTCTATTAGCGCACTGATTAGTCCCGAAAAATATTTCGATAATTTGAACTCTTTCTGCTGTGGAATATACCATGGTTAATTTATGTAATAAAGCGTTACAAGTTATTTTAACAACAAAGTTTCTTCAAATCAATCGCAAACTATGTACTAAATTCCTATTTAAAATAAGTACGAGATATTTCCATATCTTTCTTCAAGAAATAACTTTTTTGCCACAAAAAAACGCTCCAATAGCTATTTTCAACAACAAAATGATAAACAAACCATGGGCGTAGTGAAGAAAAGCATTCACTTATTAAGTAAATTTTTTTAGTCAAATTTCTTCTGAAACTAGTACAAACTAATCTGATGTACCTATTAAAGTCTACTTTAAGCTTTAAATCAATGAATCTTCAAAACTACTGAACTGAAGCTCATGTATTATACATCATTATAAAGGGAATTGAAAGACCTTTAAAATAAGATATCACTCGACCGGCCTTTCCATTTAAGATTTTAGGGTTGGTGTCACCGCCGCCCAGGTGGCTGCACGTGTTAACGTGATTTTTTTGCCAAACTTGTGTCCCCCTCGAAAACAAAATCGACGGGTCTGAGCGTTTACCAAAAAAAAAAAACTGCGCTGCCAGTAAATGCGTCTGTTTCGTTTACGATGCGCCACCCCGTATATCAAAAAATCTGTTAGATCAGTATTTTCGTGTTTCTCCAATAGCGAACATCGTTGGCCGATATGGATGACGAACAATTGATTTATATTAAAAAAAGAAAAACGTAAACGAAGCTAGATCTTTTTTCTCTGTGTCGTGATAGTCGTCCAAGGAAGTGTCCCATATACAAGCATACGGCCAAAATTAAATTTTCTGTGTCGCACATTACGCACCCCGTAGCAACAGTCTTCTCACTAGCTATTTCAGTGATCAACTAAGGTATTGAGATTATGATTCCGGTGTGTATGTGGTTCCTATTTTATATATACACCTTAGGAAAAACCATTGTTATACATGGGAAATCATTTCTTGGCAACAGCGCATCGGCTCGTCTACTTTCA